ACTGAATGAATATTTTTAGTTCTGGCATTATTCTACCAAATTGTATTACTGACTTTGGCATTTGAGTATTACTATTAATATATATTTTATAAAATGTGACTAGAGTTATGAGGCAAAATTAAAGTTCTTCATTTTTATACCTAAAACACATAAAACAATTCTACATATTATGACATGACTAGATATGGAACTATGGGAAATATTTCTCAGAAGGCAAAAATTGAGAAAGATAACTATGAATTTGTGATTAATTCTCAAAATCGTGGTCCATAAGTTATACATCTGAAATACCATTATAGCCAATGCAATTAAAATAAGACTCAGGTTTGAAGGTCCTTATCTCCCCAATTCCAGAATTTGTTTACTATAATGAAATTTCAGTAAAATGACATAATACAGGGTGGGGCGAAAGTAGATTTACAGTTGTGAGTATGGTAAACACAGAGATAAATCTTGTATTATTTTCTGTATGAACAATTGTAAAGATACTTCTTTTTTTAAAATATATTTTATTAATTTTTTTACAGAGAAGAAGGGAGAGGGATAGAGAGTTAGAAACATCAATGAGAGAGAAACATTGATCAGCTGCCTCCTGCACACCCCCTACGGGGGATGTGCCCGTAACCAAGGTACATGCCCTTGACCGGAATCGAACCTGGGACCTTTCAGTCTGCAGGCTGACGCTCTATCCACTGAGCCAAACCAGTTAGGGCTGTAAAGTTTCTTCTGTCCCACTCTGTGTAACAATCCCTTGGAGGTTAGTATTATAAGATTTTGACTACATTTCAAAAGGGGCTGTATGTGGCTTTTACATTGTAAGATAATATAGTACATACATTCTAAAAATTTAAACTTTGTTAGAGAAGCAGACCTCTGTACTAAGAAAACAAAGCATTAAAAACTACTTTACATTTACCTAAACAGAGAACATCAGTAAATTTACCTATTAATTCCATTTAATGACTATCTTGCTTAGAATTTGATGCTTTACTTGAAGACACTGCTGCCAGAAGTCCACTCACAATTTCCCGTCTGATTTCCCCAACAATAGACTCTTTTATCTAGAATAGAAACAGAGGAAAATAAGAATTTGGCAATGTAACTGTCATCCATTTCTTGTTTTCAAAAAAACATAAATAGCATTTCATTTCTGCAATCGCCAACTATAAAGAAAGCGGCAACATTCATGTGAAACTTGATGCGGTACGGAGGGAGAGGGCAATCACGTTCATCTCTCCTCCAACTCAGACCGGACTTCTAGCTCTGGTCGACCAAAATTCTGACAACTACATTATAAAATATCACATTTAAGTTGAGAACATTAAAAATTTTTACTTAATAGATTAAAAACTTCTATTAAATAATTTGCTTCATAACACAAAATAACCTGAAAGAAGTGACTAAATGTTAGATTCACTTTTATGTTTCTGATTAATGTCCACCTTTGTATCGTAGTCAGCAGGATGGTCAAGTGTTCTCATTGTTATGAAAGTCCATTAGTGGCAAAACAATATACAGGTATATGGTCTGAAAGCGGAGTATCTAAAGAAGTTATATGTTGTTCTAAATGTGACACGCATGTTTTAAGTGGAAAGAAATGATCATTTAGCACAGATTACTTTAAAACATGAAAATAAATGACCATAAACTCTAAAAAAATAATTTTTTCTTTAGTTGTATGGTATGTTTGTCACCTGTCTAAAACTTCAGCTTCAAAAAAGATATACATCTCATTTTATTAGTGGAAAGGGCAAATAAAACTATGGCAACGGCAATTCCATCAAGATTTTCTTCTCCAGATGCCTAAACACTGCAAATGCCTATCCGTGTCTTTTTCTCTCCTATGATATAGCATCACCCCAAATAGCCCTCTGTAAAGACTTTAGATGTGTATTTCCTGAAATAAACTGATAATGCCTTCCTAAATTAGCACTGGAGACTCTCTCACCCAGCTTTTAAAAATTCTACATTTCCACAGTTTCCTGTCAGCCTGATCTATTTCCTAAAATGTTTCTAAGTACATCCTGAACTCATTCCAATTGAAGTCTTTCCAAAAATAGCTCTGAATTAATCTGTCATGAAAACTG